GAGCGAAGATATTTTTGATCGTATGATTTCATATAACATAATAGTATTATTTAAACGAAACGTAATATAAATATATATCTAAATAAAAAATCTCCTCTCAGCTTCCGGGTTTTACATAATTAACATGTTCTGATTTTGTTTTAGTAAGAGTTTTACCGCTATTGCAACATAATTAAGACAAGTAAACACCAAAGATTAGTGGTGTTAGGAGAGAGTAACAAACACAATAAAAGGAGGAGTGATAAGGACGATAAATGTTTGATAGGAAAGAAGGAGCGATCTACACCAGAGCATCCACCAACCATCCACTAAAATGTACAAAAGCGTCCAAATTATTTGACAAGGCCCAGACTCAATGGTATGTTCTGTTGTGGCATCAGCTGTCAAGGACAATTCAACTATACGTCACACACTTTGTTAGTTCGTCCTGTAAACATACAGAACCCTGACTGACATAATTGGACACATCTTAAGAATAACAGCACGGTTTCGTTGTGTGTATGTGTGTGTGGGGTTGGGGGTTTTTTCTCTTCGTCTATGCTTGACAACTAGAACCCAGAGGTTGTAGTAGTGGTCTGTTGGTTCTTCAAAACTACAACGCAAAAGAATTTGGCTCGCGGCCATCTTCCCTTTCGAATATGTTTTGCTGAACTCTATGCTCAACTGATTCTTTTTAGATGGACTTTAAATCACCACCATCATTTACAATCTTTTGAAATAATTATGTACAATCATCCACAGTTATTTGCATTCACTTACAATCATCCCCAGAGTCCAATGAACGTGATTGTGGTCAACTGGGGACAGGGGGCCTTATTCCCGTACACAATGGCTGTGGCCAATACACGAGTGGTGGGGGCCGAGATTGCCAAGCTGATCCGGGTGTTGGTGCAAGTCACAGGGCTCTCCACAGAGAATGTGCACATTATCGGACACAGCCTCGGGGCGCACGTGGCGGGCTACGCTGGAGCTCGCACACCTGGATTGGGCAGGATCAGTGGTAGGTTTGAATCTAAGGAGGTGGGGGTTTTTTTAACGCCCTTTTAAAACACAATATTACCTACTTACTCCTTCTCAAGGAGGTATGTAAGGTCCTTAATGCGCCTGCCCTATACCGTCAGGTACATAAGGCGGAGAGCAGTCGACGCCACGCTTACCTGTCCCTGGCCATGTTCTCCATTTTCGGTACATCCAGGCCATGGGTGATTGCTTTATCCCTTATTGTGTCTCTTGAACTTCCAGTTGGTCTACCTCTAACACGGCCCGGAGCACAATATTATATTAGTTTGGGTGTGCTGATAGCTCGGTTGATATCATGCTGTACCGCCTCTGCGCATGATCCTGGTACGACTTCCTAACATGGTGTTTTAGATATTGAGTTGTTTGGAGAATTTCCATGACTCTGCACCCACTTGGCTTCGTCCTGCGAGAGATGGGTGTCATATTCGGCAGCCCCACTCTTGTAAATGAGCTTACAGTGTTAATAGGGCAAGCTATCACAACGTGTAGGGTATTTAATCAGGACTTTACTTTGCTGTATTTTAATAGTAGGTTTTATATTCATTTGGAAATTTGGTTTTTTCTTTTCTTTTTTTTTTTTTTTTGGGTGGGGGCGACTTTAAAAATTGTAATCCACTCTGTGAAATCCTGCTCGTTTAGTGTACTTGTATTTGAGCTCACTCAACGTCATTTACAATATAATTAATATTGTTTAGACCTTTTTTTTATCTTTTTTTTTTAGATCGTGTTCGGTGATAACTAACATTATTACATCTTCCCTGTTAGCTTGTTTAT